CTCTGCACAGAAAGTTTGGCTAGAGGAGAAATAGTCAACCCTAACTGAACCTGGTTTTTCTTTTAATTTTTTTCTTTTAATTTTTTTTATTATCTATTTTTAAATGTATTTAAAATTCATTTATTTATTTTTTATATATATATTTATTTATTTTTAATTTATTTACATGTAATTAATTTATTTATTTTAATTTATTATATTATATGAGTTTATTTAAATTTTATGTATTTATTGTAATTAAATTAATTTTATTTATTTAAAATTAATTAATTTGTATTTATTTTTAATTTATTTATTTAAATTTTATTTTCATTTTTTATTTATTGACATTTATTTTCAGTGTAAAATTATTACTTGTTTAAATGCCAAAACTTTTTTCACTTATTCTTAAGTCCAAAGAGAAATGGACTATTGTTTGTTTTTATTATTATTTTGTGTTATATTATCTGGTTACTGAGCAGCAATAAATAACACTTTAAAATTCAAGGAGACTTCATGAGATTTATCTAAATTATCAGTGTTTTAAAACTAATGAATGCATAATAATCGTGATAACCATGATTATTCCTCAGACCATAATCGTACAATCAAAATCTATAATCGGTGCATCCCTATACCTTGCTACTGTTGCCACTGCGCATCGATGGATTTGCTGTAAAGTGTTTGGACTTTGAACTGAACTTCAATTCTGACTGACACAGATTCAATAACTAGAACTTCTGTTTTAAGCAGCTTAGACACAATCTACATTGTAATAGCGCTATTGAAATGAAGATGAATTGAATTGAACGTAAATTATAATACAGACTCAACATTGGATATCCTGCAATGTGACTATTGCGAATGATCAAACTGCGATATTGAAGCTGAAACCAAATATCGTGCAGCCTAATTTGATTTGCATTTAATGCATATTTCATCTCCTTACAGCAAGACTGAACACAAAGAGCTTCAGATTTTAACTGCTCCCAACCAAAACGCCTGGAGTACAGGATGAGCAATGAACATAACCCCCTTTCATTCAGTTTTCTTTGAGCTACAACAAAACTTTAATAGCCAACCGCATCTCTAAATTCCTGTAAACTCCGAAACAAACCTCTTCCAAGCAGCACTTTGAAGTGAGCTCCATTTGATGACCTCTGTGGGAAACACTGCACAAACTGTTCTCCTAAAGCCACTTAACATCCATTAACGCAGTAAAGTTTGTCGAACTAGTTAGAGGTTGCTCCTTCCCTCTGAAAAGAGCCACCACCGTTCATCATTAGAGAGGTCACCAAACTCGTTTCACATCACAAGAGCAACAGGAAAATGGGACAATTATCCAAACAACCTGACAAAGATCATTTCACAAACCAAAACAGTGCTGGGAGATTTAGATGACAGCTGTTTAAAGCAAACAAAAGATCATCTTGTGACTAATTAAGGCAATATTCAAGAGCTAGCTTCTGACCTTGTATAGCCTACACCACTTGATCTCTGATTTGAGAAAGCGTCTCAGCTTGAGGGTAAAAACATGCCAAGTAAATTTGATCTTTTTGCTTTCCGTCAGTAGATGGTGGAGGCTCTCTGCTGCACTCGAACGTACAAATATATTACTAAAAAACATTTCAAAGAGCACTTCGTCTTAATTTCCTGTCAGGATATGCCGTGTACAAATCCTGAAAGCAAAGTAGACATGCGAAAAACTGCCAGCCCATTTCTGAACTGCTTCCAAATTCCTTTAGTAAAAGTGTTTTTCGTGAAAGTAAACAGCAAATCTTTTTGGTGTTGAAGTCTTTCGAGGGAAGTGATACAACTTGAGGGTGTTAGAACTGCTCATTGAAGCACTGTTCATTACTGGTGTTTATTTAAAAAGCTAGGCTACTCATGGCAGTCCACACAGAGAGTTGAGTTTTAAAGAGATAGTGCCCCCAAAACTGAATATTTACTCACAGTTAAGTGGATTCAGACCTTTAAGAAATAGAAAAATATGTTATTTTAGATTGGAAACCTGCAATCACTGACTTCCATAATGGGAAAAACAAATAGGCTACTATGGAAGTCAAGGATTTTTGCTTAAACGTTTGGACATACTCTTAAAAAATATATAAAAAGTTATTCATTCATTTTCTTGTTGGCTTAGTCCCTTTATTAATCTGGGGTCGCCACAGCGGAATGAACCACCAACTTATCCAGCAAGTTTTTCGTGAAAAATGTGAAAAATGTTGGAAACTTGTGAACATTGACTTAGTAGTTTCAGAATGTTTTCAGGTTGTTGTCTTCCAGCCGCAACCCATCTCTGGGAAACATCCACACACACACACACACACACTACGGACAATTTAGCCTACCAGTTCACCTGTATCACATGTCTTTGGACTGTGGGGGAAACCAGAGCACCCGGAGGAAACCCACGCAGGGAGAACATGCAAACTTCACACAGAAACACCAACTGAGCCGAGGATCGAACCAGCGACTCAGCGACCTTCTTGCTGTGAGGCGAACATGCTACCCACTGCGCCACTGCGTCGCCATATAAAAAGTTAATTCAAATCAATTCTAGATGGGATACCGCTGCGGATATTTGATCAATATAGCATCATTTTATATGACACTGTGTAACAATAATTAATATTTTTATAGTATTGTGATGATTGGGTTTAGGGTTACACCCGATTAAAGCATCAATGCTTTCCATTTATTTTAAATAGGTGACGTCAGGCATTGCCAAACTGCATTGTAGACCCGTCGGCATCGCTTTAGTGGCGTTGCTCGCTGCTGAAGTTGGTAACTTCTCAATTTGCTGAAGGTTGGGAAGCTACGCCATTGCTGAAGCCCCATGTGAAACGGGCTTTAGGGTAGGGGTAGACATTAAAATAAACAATTCATTGGGTAATTTAATAAATAACATACACAATAATCAGTACAAGTACTATTTTTATGCTATTGTGATGGTTGGGTTCAATTGGGTTTAAAATGCAATTAATAAAAAGTTAATAAATAATATAAATCATTTTAGTTAACTTCTGGGCGCAACTTGATCTAGCAACAACCTGAAAACATTCTGAAACTACTCAATGTTTACAAGTTTCCAACATTTTTCAAAATATCTTCTTTCGTGTTCAACAGAAGAACAAAAAACTTAAACAGCTTTGTGACAAGTAAAGGTTGAGTAAATGACTGCATTTTCAGTTTTGGGTGAATTATCCCTTTAACGTTACCTCAAAGCCAGTTAACGTGCGCCCAGGGTATAATTCTGTGAAACGTCTTGATAGCGTCAATTTGAAGTTCATAAATTAAGCGAATAAATATTTTTGCTCAATATCGTACAAGGTAGCCTACTAATATAGCCTACTTATAAGTGTGTACAAGAAAAACAGCACGTTTTACTAACAATAATTAATATTTTTTACAGTACTGTGTGATGGGTTTCGGGTCAGGGTAGGGAAAGATGTTAAAAAATACAATTTATTGGGTAATTTAATAAATAACCTAAATAATACTTAAAATAATAGCATGAAACTACTGTTTTTACCACAACGTGACGGTTGGGTTTAGCGTTGGGGTATGGGTAGACTCTATTAAAATACAATTAATGAAAATTTTGTGAATAAATAATTATCTTTAACTTCTGGCTGCAACTGTATCTGATCTAGCAACAACCTGAAAACATTCTGAAACTACTATGGAAGTCAATGTTTACAAGTTTCCAACATTTTTCAAATTATCTTCTTTTGTCTTCAACAGAAGAATAAAAACTTGTACAGCTATTATCCCTTTAACGTTGACATTACCTCAAAGCTGGTAAACGTGCCCCCAGGGTATAATTCTGTGAAACAGCAATATTTTGAAGTTCATATATCAAGCGATTAAATATTTTAGGTCAATATCGTACAGGGTAGCCTACTAATATAGCCTACTTGTAAGTGTACAAGAAAAACAGCAGATTTCACTAACAATAATTAATATTTTTACTGTACTGTGGTGGTAGTGTTTTACAGGGTAATTTTATAAATCGTTATCTTGGAATTATAAGCTTCTATCTGCGTTCTGAATGATTTTGAGACATTGAGCTTCAAAGTTTTTGCATTCTATATAGCAATCAGTATGTGTGCGACATTTGTTTTTCACATAAAATGTCTTAAAATGTAAAAAAAAAAAAAAACTTATATTAAAAAACATCCCATAATGTAAATAAGCTGTCATTTAATAACAATTTGTCAATAACTCAATTTTGAAAAAAATATCTGATACAATTCTAAGGTGACGAAAAAACAAATAATACTCCGTAACTACTGTTTTTACTTTACTGTGACGATTCGGTTTAGAGTTGGGGTTGGGGTAGATGTTAATAAAATGCAATTAATGGTAAATTTAATAAATCATTTTCATTAACTTCTGGTCTCAATCGTATCTGAAAACAACCTTAAAACATTCTGAAACTACTATGGAAGTTAGTGTTTTTAAGTTTCCAACATTTTTCAAAATATCTTCTTTCATGTTCAACAGAAGAAAATTAATTCAATTGAATTAAACAGGTTTGTTACAAGTAAGTAAATGATTAAATGACTGAGTAAATATCTGCATTTTCAGTTTTGGGTGAACTACCCCTTTAACGTTACCTCAAAGCCGGTAAACGCGCCCCCAGGGCATGATTCTGTGAAACGTCTTGATAGCCTCATTTTGAAGTTCATATATCAGACGATTAAATATTTTAATTCAATATCGTACAAGTGTAAGTGTATGTATACGAGAAAAACAGCAGGTTTTGCTAGTTTGAATGTCGATCAGCTTTAGTTATGATATCACTCTTCAAGACTTCCGCCTCAGAAAAATATCTACAATTTTTGGACGGGATTTTTTTTTTTGTCATACAAACAAAAACCTGATAACGCAAAGTGTCAGGTTTGTTTCAGGTACTTTGTAGGCTAATATTAAACGTTTAGCAATCAAGTGTGATGAAAACAAAACCAACCGGCTAGAAAACCTATGTTATGTTATCCAGCACATCACATTCTTACCTGTTCTCGGCGTGTCAGGTATTGATTTTGCAGGTCCGATTTGTTTCAACTGAAAAACTTTACGCACTTCTTCGCAGTCCATTAAAGTCCCCTGACAGACATCTGTGAAAACCGCAAAAAATGTATAAAACAAAATTCCACGGATCGCCATTTCCATCTCCAGAAGCTGACCAGTTGAGAAATATGATGTCCGCTGAAGGAAAACGCGCGTTGATTTGCCCTCGGAAAACTTCTGGTGAAAACCTCCGGTTGATTTTAGGTGAAGAGACATATACAGAAGTGATTGTACATCACACACACACTGAGTGTTTCACACAGGACCTTCAAAAAGAGCGCAGTGAATGCGCTGCTGAAAGACGGAGCTGTCAGGAGCCAATGGGCGGAATCATTAACGTTAGCCTGGTCCAACTGCGAACACTACAACAGCACAACTAGCACTGGTATAACGTTACGAGTATTTTAGGAGCAGTTTTTTTTTCCTAGTACATCCTTCCTAAATTTGACCCTCAGCTATATTTACAGAACTTATTTGAGAGTACTAAAAGTTAACATTTATTACTAAAATGTTATGGTCGCTAACACAAATCGCGTTAGCTTCAGGTGGTAACCATGGCAACAGTTTGAAGATTCCCGTTGCGGTCGGATTAATCGCTTGTACCTCACAAATCGCCTGTATATAGACCCTGATTACTGATTTTGAATAGCTGCTACTCCAGGAGAGTAGTAGGCTATGCAAATTATCAAGCAAAGTTTTGTAGAATTATACATTGGAAACCTCACACTGTTACTTTCACACAAACACACATACACAAAATAAGTTTCACCCACTACAACGAACGGGCCTCCGAAACTGAAAGCCTGTTGCATATGGAAAGTTTAATAGAAGTTAGCGGGGGTAATTCCAATTAATTTTTAGCGATGTTAATTTATATTTTTATTAAATAGATTACTAAAAACAGTGGAGATAAATTACTGGAAATAAAACACCTTCAGCAGACAATGCGAGCATCTCTCCCAAATGAGCTGCAACAGCCCCATCTATTTGACATTTACTGACACTGCAGGTAACAACTTGTTTTGGTTTGACTGATGTCAAGTTTCTTAAAAACATAAAACAATGAACTGAAACTATTAACGAAGACTTCAGAGATCTTTAGCCTTGATATTACCCTAAGATTATCACTTAAATATCAATAATAATTTCAGCTATTGTCACTGTAATATTTTAGTAAGCATTATAATAAACTATATAAAGTGATGACTCAAATCTTAAGTTACATAAACCTTAAGAAATTAATGTTTACTTACAGTATTTCCAAAATCTTTTTACAAGACCTGGAACCCTGTTTTAGACTATGTCAAAGGCTTACCCTGTTCAGTTGATATCAGATCTAATACACAGTAATTAAGTGGATATATATACACAATGTGAACTTTTTAAATGTTTTTTTTTTTTTGCCATTTTAATAAAAACTTGCTTACTTAAAAAAATAATATATATATATATATATATATATATATATATATATATAATTTTTTATATGTATATTTTAATTATTTTATTTTTATTATTTACCTTTCAGAGGACATGTTTGTTTATAATTAATATATTTTATTTTGAGAGGACAGAGGGAAAATATGAGTCTGTAACTTTCCTGTTGTATTGTATACTAAGATATGTTGTCTTAAACACCAATAAAAAAAAAAAAATAATAATAATAATAATAATAAAGTGATAAGACTCAAAGGTTTTGATTTGAATAGAGATTGGCTGTACTTCCCTATGGACTAACAACAAATTTATTTTAAACTTAGAGAACATGCTTTCACTATAAAAATGAATGTACTGTTCATCTTTACACAGGGCTACAGCAAACCTCCCAACATTCCAATGCACAGCAGCTGAACACCATGGTAGTCAACCATTAGACAAAACTTCAGCAGTGAACACAGAATTCAAGATATTGTACATTTTTTAAACCACTTTCCTAATCAACATAATTTTAAAAGCTTTACTTGTACAAGTACCATTTATACACACTACAATATAGGGATTAAGACCACCCCTCTGCATTAAGCATGTGTACTTAAAGGGATGCTAGATTACTCGGCTTACTCTGCATTTTTATAATTGGATTTGATAAATCTGAAGAGCAGCTGATAGACTATGTTGATTTGTCCGATTATGTTGGTTTAATAAAACCCAAGTCATTAACACACTTAACAGCATAGCAAACAAGTGTCTAAATGTTAATCATGCCTTGCATGGTGTAAAAATTACAGTGTTAAGATAATAAATGAAACAAAGATGATGCATCGCAATATTTTATTGACAAGCTTTTGCATTCATTCAAATCACAGTATCAAGGTGTTTATAAAAGTAATTCTCAAAAAAAAAAAAAATGCTTAAATGAATAATGAAAAATAACGAATGGCAAATGAAATGGAAAATAAAAATATTTGTGGGGTACAATCTCCACAATCCTTTACAGGCCGGGACAAGTGCAATACCTTCAAAACACACAGCATTGCTACCAATCCCAACCTGCGCAGAAAGGGACCAAACGACTCCAAAAACAAGTGCTTAAGAAGTGTGCTGCCACAATCAGTTTTGCATGGATTTGCACAGCGCACAGTCTTAAAAGCTGAATGCAAACCAGCAAAACTGACCGGGGGTCCAGCAAGGTCAAATAGCGCACGCAGACCTCAGGATTTCTAGCAGAAATCTTCGGATCCCAGACGCATTAAGCTAGAAGTACTTCAAGTGCTCACACTGCAGTAGATGACAGAAATACTACCTGCACTATAAGCACTTTAGCACTGCTGAAACTCTAACACAACTGCAACATTAGGAGATTTATTTAAGAAGGGGAGAGAAAAATATGAAGGGGCTGGGGGGGACGGCGATTAATCGAGAAACTTTGATTTTACAAAATCAAAACATGGGAATCGTGGAGAAGCAGCAGGCCACCATCAGTTTTGCATAGATTTGCACAACTCCCGTTTTCTTGTAGTGCAACTATGCAAAACTAGCAGAGAACTGCACCAAAAGAAAAAATGAGGGGAAAAATTACATAAACACACACAGACACAAATATATATGGATGCAAGTCACAGACCCTCGTGCCAGAAGGAGCACTTAGGGCAGTAGGTGCTAGTCTACTTCACTATCTGCACTAGATGCACCTTAGCACAAAGCCGTTAGGTTGGGTGTCTTGCCGAAGGATGCCTGGAGGAAGGTTAAAATGGTCAAGTGTATTGCTAGAAGTGCCTCCACTGCAGTAGATATTCCATAATACTACCTGCACTGTAAGCACTTTGACAATACATTGACACCAACCAAGTCCACTCAAGAAAGTCCAACTTGCGTGCAACTACTCCCATCTTTCCTGGGAATTCTGAGAGGGGGAAGGGGAGAAATATTTGAGTTAGTTTGTTACCTGTAGAATTATTCAAATACAATAGATATTGATGGTACATGGGGTTGACTTTCTATACTACAAAAGCGAGGGCCTCATGGCAAAGCACATGTCACACGGGCACTGCGGTACTATCCATGTCCAAATGTGACGGTTTAGCGGCCATTAAAAACAAACTCCACCAAACCACCGTTACCTAGTTCGCTCATTCCATTCTGAAGGTGCGTTTCACTATTAATTTCCAAGTTATGAGAACTAGAGTTGAGCGAGTGAATGAATTGCGCAGCCTGCGGACCGCGCCGTCCGTCTGTGTGGCGCATGCGCAGAGAGGCGCTCCCCGTTCACCCCTCCCCCCCCAGCCCGAAACAATCTGCACTAACATGGCGCCGTTGAGTTCACCAACCGGATCATTCTTCGCTTTAAAACTACTCAGTTAGACAACAATAAGTTGCACATGTCAAACAGGTAGAAACAACGAAACGGGTGTGGGAATAAAGTAGCGCGGTGGTGCGTTCGCGTGCAGCCGAGGACATCGATAGCTGCTAATGCTAAGCTAACGTGCTAGAATTCCGCCTTAAACATGTACACATTGAATTTATGAAATCAACCATGCATTTACGTCAACGAGCGACGAGCTCATGATACTTGCACAAAGAGTGAAACTAGCTAGTAAACAGTTTAACTGCAACGGCTAGCGTAAGCTAGCTCAATCCATCCCCTATACTGAAATCAACAACAATTGTTGAAAAACGGAGGTGCTCTTTGTGTGAATTATCAGGTTTAGTAATTCAAACATTCCACGCGTAACTTCACAGTCAAAGCAGAAAGTGATGGCCAAAAAAGGGGGATGTTTTTGTGCAGCGCGCCGTTGCTAAGCTAGCCAGTGCGCGCGCGGCCTACGCGTCCCCCCATGTGCTACTGCTTTGTTCTGGAGGCACTTTAACTCGCACGCTCAACACAAGGCGAAAACATCACTCCACAAGTCGAAAAACAACTTAATTCGCATCCCGGCACGCCGACGCGCGTCTACGAGGCTGATTCAAGCGTATCGCGCAGGCGTGCGGCGAAATAAAATAGTTGGTAGTTGCAATGCAGCACGCATGCTTTTCAAATCTCCCACATTCTCCCCAACTATGGAGGTGGAGAGGACTACCATGCGCCACTTACTACATTGTTTGTATCACCATCGTTGTCGCTTGCGGAGTTACGAAATCATGCGCGCAAATCACCTCGTATGCGTTTAAGCGGGAAAACGCGATGGAGTCCGTGAGACTAGAAGCGAGGAAAAATTAACAACAGGTTCCTAGTCAATAACGCACAGTAAGACACTCACCAGTGAAATCCACCATCTTCACTCACTTGCCGTTTACAGCCACTGCTCTGGACAAATCTGCGAAACTGGTGCGTAAACTTAAAAGTGGAGCGCGGTCGTATGTAACACACGCGGCGCGCATCCGACGCAAAGTGAAACTTCTCCTGAAACGACTTTCTTAATCATAGTAAAATTGCAAAAGTGGCGCGAAGGCGACCTGCCTTGAACCATGTGGGTGAATGAAGGGCGGCTCCCGTTGAACGTAAATATCTACAACCCCCAACTCCTTCATTAGCATAAATAAACTACTTCCGATCTTTAGCCCTCCAACCAATCGAAGAGAAAGCCTAGGCGTAGGGAAAAAAGCAAACAGGCACGAGCGCTCATTAGTCAGGCAATAAATAATAACAATAGTATAAATCTGAATCTGAAAGTCTCATGATCTGCGGTAGCACACTTGTTTAATTTAAATGATAATCATAAAAAAGTGGACAATACGTTTTTTTATAGCAAAATATAAACACTAATATAGATAATTTATTACAAATCATGTTGAATGAAAGTATTTCAGTGCGCAATTCCTTTAAAGAGAAATGGGTTAATATATTTGCGTAAATCATACAATTATTACTAAAATGTGTAATGTAAAGAATATAACTTTCTCATGAAGTATTATTTTTTGTTTGTCAGAAAATTCATAACATCAAATAAAACTAATATCTGTTTTGAACCAGTAACAAACTTTACTACTATTCACTTTTATATGAAGTTAATACAATTTCTGCTCCTTTTTTAATTAAATGATTAATTACTATTATCAGTTGATGAAGAAATTATGCATAGCTTAAAGTTAGCGGGAAC